GTCTCTCAGCCGCCGCCGCCGCCGCCGCCACGATCCGGGACAACCAGGGCCCCCCCCCCCGGAAGACCCGGATGCTGGACCGCGAGGCCTCGGATCCGGATTCCGTGCGGGCGTGGAGTCTGGAGCGGGTGAGCGCAGGGGAAACCCGGAACCTGGATGGCGGAGTTCAGTGCTGGGTCTCGGAATGCGCGGTCGGTCAAGACGAGCCCGGATTAGAGTTGTGGCTCGGGAATGCTGGAAAACCCGGCGAGCCGGTTGAGAGATCAAGTCGAGGAAACCTGGGTTGGACAGCCCGAACCTAACGCTCTCTCCGTGTACAGAGAGAAAGTCTGCCCGGACCGGACCTCTCGCCGGACCCGAATTCTCCCCGCGAGGTCTCTGGACAAGCGCTGTACCTTAAATACAGAAGACACCATTTCCGTCGATGACCTTCAGCCATGGGGCGCGGAGAGGCCTACCTGGGGTCTGAACGTGAACGTCCACAAAGGACAGAAGCGCAACCAGAGCTCATGACAGTTGCATCCGTTTTACCCCACAGTTCAGCAAACCCCTTAATTTTTTTTTTTACCCTTTGTTCTCATTTCCCCCCCGTACGATTACTTGTTTTTCCGTACGAAGCAAGCATTTCCAATCCTTCTAGATCCCTTTTAAACCCACCATTCGGTGTCGTTAAATCTTGCTTTTTATTACGTAGTATTTAAAAGCTCCTCCCCTTCCCATCCCCCCTCCCCCAACGCTGGGGATCTAACCCAGGGCTTCTAGCGCGTTAGGCACGCTACCATTGAGCCACATCCCTAGCCCTTACCATGTAAGTCTTCGTCTGTCCTTCCAACCCACTATCCTATTGCTATCCATGGTAACTTTTATCTTGCCTTATCTCTGATTGCCCAACTATCTAGTACACAGTAGGCATTCAGTCCCTGTTTACATGAACCCTCCCACCTATCACTTGAGCAACGGCATATTCTTGACAACCTGCTAAGCTTCCACCTCCTGCCACAGCAAATAAATTTATCTTAATTCTTAAAGCTTCCCACTACTTAACCCCTGTTATGTCTTTCCGGTGTCCTTGACCATTTTATTCAGCTTTGCAGTTATCTTTCCTTTCTCTGCTTATCCTGAGGCATCCTTCACTAGTGCCACTTAAGATAGCATGCGCCTGGGAGATAGAATGAGTCATAAAATCGCTTTACTTTTCATCTCCATCTCCACAAAAAGAAAAGGAGGGTGGGAAAGTGGAAAGCTAAAGACAACACTAAGCCTGTCTGGTCTAGAAACATAATCCCGTCGGTCCACCAATATTCATTGCTCTTGGACAGCACGGGGGCAGAACAGTCTGCACCGTAAGATGTCACAAGTGAGGACTTGGTAGGTGCAGAAAGCGAAGGGTTTCCTGTTTTAAATTTACATGTGACAAAAATAAATGTATTTACATGTGACATAGTTCAACGCTGAACATTTCAATACTCATCTCCTCCTGAAAGAGCATAATACTGGGTAGGATTCAACTGCAAAAGAGGAAAAAGGAGTGATTTCTACAGTGTAGTCGGAGAAAGCTCTCAAGCCTAGAAAAAATCATTAAAAAAAATTTTTTTTCACTAAAAGTTTCCAGTGGATGAGTAGTTTTCTCTGGCGTGGAAACCCTACAATACTTGTGATCTGGCCCTTTACAGAAAAATTTTTCCAACCCCTGCTCTAGACAAATACTGGCAGCTAGCACTTTTTGTAAAGTATCTGTGCTGTTTGGTTCCAATAGCCACAAGGGGCTATTTGAGCACTTGAGATATGGTTAAGTGACTAAAGAAGTGAATCCTTAATTAATCTATTTATTTCTTTATTTTGCCGTGCTAGGGGCCAATGTTTGGGCCTTGTGCATCCTAGGCAAGCACCTGCGGCACCAGTCAAATAACCCCATGGCTAGTGACTACTGTATTAAACAGTACAGATCTAGGGGCTGGGGATTTAGCTCAGTGGCAAAGCGCCTGCCTGGCAAGCGCAAGCTCGTGAGTTCAGTTCCCGGTACCGGAGAAAAACCAAAAAAAAAAAAAAAAAAAACCAAAAAAAAAACCAAAGTAAACAGTATAGCTCTAGGCTCTCAACTCTTATGGATTAAACTTTTTTGCTCCCCATGCCAAGATGACTCCCTTCCTGCAACATATTTGTTGTGTTACCACCCCCATTTTTCTGAGGAGGGTACATTCTACAGGTTTTCTTTCTGGGTCCCCCCATAGTCACAACCCTGACCCTAACCTGAACCAATTTCATGCTGTGAATTAGGCCACATGAAGTGCACACATGTAAGTGAACATTTCCACAAATTTGTGTCAGAGGATGGCATTGTGGGTATGTATTTTCTTTTCTGCAGGAGAGAGTGGCAAAGCCTTCACAGGATGAATCCCCTTGCTGCTGATCTTGGGAGGTAGGCCACCTCCCTCCCAACACATCTGCAGAAGCTGACCAGCAGATGTGTGCTTGCTACCTGAATCTCAAGGAACAAAATTCCTTCGGCACTGCACTTTCTTGACTCCTCCAGGCCTAACAGACTGAAGTTCACTGGTTTCTTTAGTTTAATAGATGTCTGCTTCTTATTGATCTCTTTTAGCTGGCCCACAGAACAACCCCATACTGCCTCCATTTTGGCTAAGAGCTCTAGCAGAAGGGTTTTTAAATATTACTAAATTAAATGGATGCTTGAATAAACTTTGCCACTGCTAAAAAAAAAAAAAAATTAAATGGAATCTACATAAATGAACTTTAGTAGAGACAGTAGTTAAAATAGAAAGAGATTAAGAATTACAACTCATAAAAGCCCATAACTTTATAATTATTTATAAAAGTAATCTAAAGTATAAGTATTTTACACTGACTCCTTAGAAAAAATGGGTTTCTATAAACCTCTAGCTTATTTTTTACCTCTGTTTTTTCTTTACCTCTAACTTTTTTTTCTTTCTCTAGATTCATAGGAAATAAGACTCAAAACAAAAAAATAAAACAAGCAAAAAACAAAAACAAAAAAACCCTGAGTTTCAGACAACTCATTGCAAGGCCATGGTCTCTAAAACCTAGTAAAGTCTCCAGTTTCATGCACATCCCTCTGTAAGGTTATGTAAGTCTGGGTCCTGCCTGGAAAAACAAAAACAAAAAAGCAAATTCCTTTAGTAACTACACAAATTGATAGCAACTGAACCCAGCTATCCAAAAGGTAGCACAGATACTGAGGCTGCAACAGAAAACCAACTGAGAAACATGAGACTTCCCTCGGGCCAGACCGTCTCGGAGTTAGAGTCAGAACGAAATGCTGTAAAGCACCGACAAGCTATTCCCGGGCAAATTTGCACTCAGGTTGCTAAGAATTTCCGCTAGGCTTTAAATTATGCTATTCATCGCTGAGCAACTGAGGTCCACCTACCCTCAAGCTTCTCCCACACTTCCTCCCTGGTGTCTCTGTGAATAAAAGAGAGACCTTATGCTCCTACCACCATGTGAACTGAAGACAGGCCTTCACAGCCTAACCATGAAAAGGAGAAGTTTCCAAGTTATTCTGCCCTTTACTCATGTGGTTCCAGCTGCATGTTTTGGATGCTGAGGTGGGTTCCTACAAACTTGTGAAGCTGTTGTAAACTTTCTTATCACAGCACACAAAATGGTTGCACATCATCTGTTGCAGCTCCTGATATTTTTCTTCAGGCACACACACACAATCCATCCAGGTGGAAAAATCAATCCAGACTCCTCTGTACGCAGGCTGTTTTAAATACAAGGCAGAGCACGCCCACCGCCCCTCCAGGATCTTTGCCTCTTGCCTTTCAGTTTTATTTTGGTGTGAAGACAGTCAGACAACTGAAGCATGGAATTCAAGGTGCTACTGTTTGATAAACTATTAACTATATAATGAACCCAGTTATGTCATTAATCGCAAGGTCTACAGAAGGCCAGAAAGATACTTTCCCCCCCTAAAAAACATGTCATTAGCTGTCCTTTCCACTTTTCTACAGAGGGTGAACAGAAAGACAATACTGCATGTGTGCATCCCAGAACAAGAACCTGATGGGTCTTCCCCGAGAATCCAGAGCGACCCGGCCGTGCAGTACCGGTGCCTCCAGCTATGCAACAAGCAGGGCTCACAGCTGAGTGAACATCAATGTATAATGAGTGGAGGCATTTCAATGCAAATATACGCTGAATATGAAGGATTAAAGAAAGGGGAAATTAATCTTTTTCATAACACAGGGCACTTTTTTTTTTCTCATCTTCACGCTCTCTTTTTTAAGTCATGCACACAACTGCTGGAGGGAGTCCAACTTCCCCAGTGTGGTGGTGGTATTTTATAAAAAGCAGAACATACGCATTTAAGACCATGAATTTCCTCAGGATGCTAGCAACTGAGATTCCAATAGCTCTTCAGAATGGTCTTAGAAACAAAGATCTTCACAAAGTAGGGCTTGATGAGCTAATGAAAATTTCATTTCAAATCTACCTCCTGCTTTTTTAAAGTTCATATGTTCTTCGGATTCAGATGGTTAAATGAGGCGCGGTTTTGGTGTTTGGGGGGTATTTGGATGCATTTACTGAAGGGATTTTATTTTTCAATTTGTTTCTAATTGCCCAAACCAAGTGATCCTCTTGCAATTCCAACAAAATAAATAGGGTACCTTCGTGCTGAATTAGCAGGTGGCTCCATTTCTTCCCGATCCAATCTTCCCATGTCCTGGCTTCTCAAATTAAAGCATAAAGCATAAACACTTGTTCAGGTTACCCCCCCCCACACACACACACCTGCCAACAAGGATCTACTTTTCACCTCAAGAGATTTTAGAACAAAATCTTGTTAAAAATCTTTTGTTCCAAAACAGGGTTGTATTAAACACAGGATTCCTCAAACATCCTAAAATTTCACTCTACTATCACTTTGAAAAGAAACTTTAAACCCAAGGAATTCCACAGAAGAAATCATTAATCTAGGTTAATAATTTTCCTAGCCACAAATACAAATCACAGAA